TGCTGCTGCTAAGAGAATAGGTAGAAATCCACCTTTCTGACCGACTAAAAGCTTCTTTTTTTTAAAAAGGCTAGTTTTGTTATGAGTCAACTGCCTGAGCACCGTTTTGCTGTTGGACAACTTTTGAAATTGACGCGGTGACAGACGGATATTTACTTTGAGTACGTTTAAAGCAATCTCGCACAAAGCCTTGAGAACGTCCTCGGAGCACCCTTTTAAAAACTCCTGACGTTGGCGCGGCTTCATGCATGACAAAGCACGTAGAATCTTGGCGTTGCGTTTTATCCTGGCTGACATGGGTCTGTATTGGGTAAATACACCACAGTTAGCTGACCCGGAAGTAAACCCGTACGGAGTCGAAAGGGTTCTGGCGTATCCGCTTTTAAATCCACCAATAGATATCCGTAAGGTTCCAACGTAGCATCTTGAAAACTCTCCATGAAATATCTTTTCTGGGTAGAATAGATTTGATTTGCTAAAACATTGATTTGCAATTTATCTCGAGGGTTTTTAAACAAAATCAAATAATTAGTGTTTAAGCTGATGGAACGACTATGCTTTCCTTGATGAAAAACATTTTGAGTGATTAAAATGACGCTCATATTTCTGTGATGTCTCAGCTGTGTAAATAATTTTAACACTCCAGGATGATTGGACGTTTGAGACATCAGGTCATCTAAGATCACCAAGTGGTTTTGATCGGATGGGAACAGATCGTCATCGTCGAATGAAGGCGGGAGACCTTGAATGAATCTAATACTTTGAATCTAATACTTTTATTACAAAGATCATCGTACATCGGTTGATAAGATGTAAAAAACCATATGATGTTTTTTGGCATTTCAGTTAAACATTGCATACAATTTTCAAAAATATTTTTTACAAAGAAAGTCTTGCCACATCCAGAGGGGCCTGCAATTTGTACACTGAATGGATTTTTCAGTCTAGGATCAAAATCAGTTTCCATCTTAATATCCGAATGGTTCTGTCCTCCCGTCAGCAAATAACCTCCGTTTATCAAAAATCACACGAAACCTTTTCACAAATGAAACATTTGAGAGAATGAGGCCTTTTTTTATCTCTCTTGATGACATCCTGCTGAGTTTGCAAAAACCTCCCCCTTTCTCCAGCGATGTAGCCTTCCACCAGCTGGGCCATGCTGTCAAAATTGATCTGATTAGATGAGATGAAAGACTGTGTGATGCCCTTAGCCTTTATCACCACCTGCTGGCGGTCCCGGGTTTTGTAAGCATACGTTTTAGGACCTGCAGATACAAACTCCTGGATGCTGTCACCTCCCAGTTCATCGGTTAGATCCCCCAGAAGCGATCCTGTCTGCAAAGCACACTCACCCTCTTTGACAGAATAAATCACAGAATCTGTATCGTAATAAATGATGCGATTTTCCAGTTTGTTCAACGCATTTAATAATTTCAATCTGGCATGAGCTGTTGTAAAAGCCGCGATGAAAATGTTGTTGCTTCTGCCAGGAGTCACAAGGCATTTATCTGTCAAGGTGTGCTGCACCAGAACAGCTCCTGAAGTGACAAAGCTAAAGAATTTAACTTCGTATTTTCCTGAAAACAGAAGGTCAAAAAATTCATCAGGGTTTTGAACAAATGTGGTCTGTACGAAATCATCTCTTTGGCCAAACTTGCCCCAGAGTGAATTGAGACATAATTTTGAAATGGCACGTTTAGCAGGATTGTGTTGAATCTTTGCCTCATCTAATTGTATCCCCTGATAAAGCTCGTAGTCCTGGACGTATTTTCTTTTTGAATCATCATCAGTCAGACCTTCAGGAAAACCCGAGGCTTGCTGTTTTTGTTTCAGAAACGTCTTAATGTAACCTGCAAACACGTCTTTGCTGCTTTTCTCAAAATCACAGACTTCAATCATTTTCACCAGACTGTAGCCTGACTGCAGCGCATAATTGAGCTCTACACTTACCCATACACCTGTCAAAGCTCGCTGAGACGTGCTGTGTGTGCAAGAATCAAATTGATTATTCATCTCAGCACATGTACGACATAGGATAAAAACTAATTTACCTATGGATGTTTTAAAAGGCAGAACAGGGAAAAACAGTTTTCTGGGTGGCGAGACAACCACTTTAATCAAACCAAAATAGTTACTTGGATCTTTGAAAATTTTCACATGGATTTTGGGATGACCAATGGGATAATTTTGCGTGGCGTTTACGTAAGGGTACAGACTCGTAAAATCCACGTAGTGAATTTTTTCATCGCTCTGAGCAGTACGCCTCAGCTGAACTGGGCATGTTCTACCTCCGTACAGCGCGTCACAAGGTGAAAGAGGAGCTGGCGGGGGGTCAAATTTTGAGACAAACTGTTTCACGTCCGGATTTGTTTTCACCATCTCCTGCCAATCATGTTCCCAAATCACATTCACTTTTAATCGATGCACAGTTTCCAGCGTCTGCAGCTTTTCGACGGTTTTGTCATAAATTTCACCAAAAGTGATTTTTCTCAGAGGATAGATGGCGGACGGCAGGAAACATTTTGGACAGCCGTGGAAAAAACACCCCAGAAACTCAAACTCGTGTTCAACGCCTGAAATCACAGCAAATCCATCCAGAAAGAACTGTCCCACTTTGTGCTCACCCGAAGGCTTTAAAGCGTGTTGAATGTCTACATTTTGACGGCGTGAAACCCATTCTAACCACACGATACTTGAACTTGAAAAGGTTTTTTGTTGCGGTCGATAACCGAGCGGACAAGGGATGGCCAAAGTGTCTGGTTTTAGGAAATTTGATCTAAACACGCGCATGCAAGCTGAAGCGATTGTGACTGATTTCAGCGGATCAATCCCGGTTTCATTAAAAAATTCCTCTCTGAAAATGCCACATGCTTTACGCAGAATTTCCACATCGTTCCTGCAATAAAACATCGCTTCCTTCTTGAAATCAAACAGCTGATGTTTAGTCACATCGTTGTACCATTCTAAAAAAATATTTTTATGCTCCGGAGACATTTGGTCAAACCCGAAATCGGTAATTGCGGGGTAAGCGCCTATATAATTCAGATGTTCAAGCGATGAAAAGCTGTGAGGAAAATAACCTTTAGTTTTATCTGTAAAACCCAAAGCAGCGGGGAGGTTGGCTAGTTTCATCATGAGAAAACTTAACGAATCTATAAATCTCAACCCAAAATCGGGATTGTTAAAACTCAAGATTTTACAACCTTGCATGAGAATATTTTTCGGAACAATTTTTAATTGACTCATAGCTCTCAAAATTATATAAGCATCAAATCTGCGCGCATTGTGTGCAACAAATGTATAATTGTTGACTTTAGGCCGCCTCATCTGCATAATAAAATCTTTAACGCATTCGACACCATATTTTTCCCAAACCTCGCCTGAATCGGATTTTGCACAGATTAAAAAAGGTGTATGCACACCGTTCTGATCCGTGAACGTTTCAGTGTCATAATAAATAACCTTTTCCGTTAAACCGGCATCTTGTTTTTCAAGCTGAATAAAACACCGATGATCATCGGTGACCGCCGACTGTTTGCAAACGACGCATTTGTTGGCGGAGCAAACGTGCTGTGAGCCATTTCCACCTGTAGCAATGTAATAAACCTGCTTAAAACTTGTGCATTTTTCAAACATTTCACAAGGAGAAACTGCCCTGTCTGCTTGAGGTCTGAAAACAGGTGTTTTGTGAGTTTGAAAACGCATTACATTTTGGCATATACGATTACAATCCGAACATGTGATGAGCGACGTTTCTGTAAGTTTGCATAAATCGGAATTACACACACGACAGAACCATTTACAATGATGTCCGTTCATATTTTGATACGGGGTAAAACACCAAGAACAAAAATATTTTGCTCCTAAGAAGCCTTTAATATTTTTTATTCCGTAATAATGCTGATTCGGTAGCAAAATGAACAGCGGATTTGAACGATCGTTGAAATCTGTTTCAAATTTAGAAATGACTTTGTCGGATCTGTAAAAAATGATTATTTTCCTTTGAACAATATTTTCAAATCGAATCACGTCGCTGAATGAAACGGGTGTTTGTTCCTGAAGACCTGACTGATGAATATTTTTTGCCACATTCAATAATTCTGTATGTCTCGCTGAGGGATTTAACAGGCCAGCTATGCTGAGCGCGAAACACAATGGCTGATTGATCTCCGGAGGGCAGATGAGATGACTACGTTTTTTATTCACTAATTCATGGACTAGAATGCTTTCGATTTTTCGTTTCCCCCACCAAAAGGATTATTTATCACCTGCAGTCTGAAATTAAATTCGTTGTCGGCCGCTAATGCTTCATTTGATTGGACTAATCGATCCAGTAAATGTTGAAGCTGATTTAACATATTTGACCTGTCATAATTAAAATTAACGTGGTGAGTCCTATGCAAAGTATCAACTTCAAACTGAATCCTATCATTGGCACGAGCGATCTGACTTCCTCTTTCAGCAAACCTGTTTAATATTTGCATCAGATTAATATAAAACTCGGCTGGGTCGTTGATTGCTTCGAAAGACACACTCTCTCTAATTTAACGCTGGTTAAAAGCCTCGTTTATGCCCCCTCCGCCCTGCTGGTGATAATGTGAGTGTTCTATTTGTCTCAACATTTCATCTAAAGTGTCGGGTGAAGGCGGATCTGAATTTGCTAGAATTTCATCGACCTAGTTTGAAATGGTTTGGCATGTTAAAATCTCATCCAAAATATCATCGTTTGAAAACGATTCATCATCATCTACTTCACTAAGTCCGCTTAAATCAAACCAATCCGGTAACACTAAATGATCAGAATTTAATAGATTTTCGCCGGATGGATGAAGAGGGGGGCTTTCATTATCTAAAATTCTATCTAACATATCATCATTTCCGTTTACCTCACCATCTACCTCGCACAGATCTGAAAGTTCATCAAACCAATTTTCACTCATGATACAAAGACAGTAACACCTACTATAAATGAAGAAAAAAATCTGCATCCTCCTCCTTACAAAGAAAGCACTTCTTGGACAATTTCAACCAAACCGGAGTTGATTTGAAGGAGCAGGTAGGCCATTTTCATCCAGTTTAATCTTTGAATCGGCGTAATGCGTCTGTTCCTCTTCTTTCGTTTTTCTGATGATAAAAAATATGAACTAATCATCAGCTTTTAATAAATTATATATATATATAGCTTACTCTGTACGGGTGCAGGGTGAGGAGGTGGAGCGCTCTCTTCGTTGGTGGTCGGTTGTTCTGAAAGGAGAAAAAGCATCATCTTTTTACTTCAAAAATGTAATTTAATATACGCTGCGGAGCGGTTTTGTGCAACAGCTTACCCGCTGGTTGCGCAGCCGCACGGTTTGTGCTTTCTGCGTCGGTGGTCGGTTGTTCTGGAAGAATAAAAATGAAAGTATGAACGAGTCATCTTAGAACTTTTTTAACACTATTTTTGATCCGTTTACCAGTCGTCTGTGAGGTAGCGGGGCCGCGTGGTGCGGGGGGAGGGTTTGATGCGGCGTAGGTTTTCGGCGTATGCTCTGGAAGGAGAAAAACGAAAATATGAACGACACATCATCTTTGAACTTATTAAACACTATTTTTGATCCGTTTACCAGCTTCTACGATCGCTTGTGGTGTGATGGTCTTGTAACGACCAGCTCTCTCAGCTTCTGTGATCGCTTGTGGCCTGACGGTTGTGTCACGCAGATTGATGTTTGGAGGTGTGTTTGCGTAAAAGTTGTCACTTCCGGGGTAGGGTTGAAGTCCCGTTCTAGCGTTCTCCCTTTCTGTGAAATGAAATATTTCACAGCTGAAAAAAAAGAACGTTGCGTATAAAAAAATGCACTTACTGAGATTATTCACAGCTCGGTTGATGATGGTCATACAATCTTGAGGAGACGGCGGAGGTGGAGGCGGCATTTTACACGTTAATTCCTCAATAGGAATTTCTTCCCATTCGCTGTCCGAAATAACAATAGTGTCTGAAAAATAAAGAAAAGATAAGATGTTGTTAAACCAAAAAAAAAAAAAAAAAAAAAAAAAGATTTGCATCTTGAGTAAAAACTCACCTGTCATCTTGGCAGCCTCAAATCATGACTCCAAAATGCGTTCTACATTTTTCTACATTTTTCTACCATCGTTTAAAAAAATCTTGAATAGAAACGGTGCGCGATTGGTCAAAAAAAAATGTTTAAAAAGCAATACAAAGAACTACAGCTGTGTGTGTGTGTGTGTGTGTGTGTGTGTGTGTGTTTTCCATTTCAAACACTGGTCTAACCAACCAGACCAGCGTGTCCAGTAACATATTAATGTTACACTTCATGTAGGCTAGGAACATTTCAGCTGCCGTGGCCCGACCGCTTCTGCTCCACATAAACTTTGTGCGTGATCAAATGTCTCTACAGGTGCTTTCTGAGCTGAAGAGCTATTCTGCCTCAGACTGGATGCGTAATGCGTCTCCATATTAGAGACGGGAACAAGCGCTGTTCAGCCAAAGTTTCATAATTTCATAAAAAGAAAATTTTTCCAAGTGGCACATCCCTCAGAGAGACCGGGTTTCCAGACCGCCTCAGTGGGAGGAAATCATCGCATGCACCGTGGTTCTGCACTGCGCTGCGAACCCCTCAGATCTTCAGCTCACTGTCCACTGTGGGCGCTCCGAGCCACGCTGAACACAGTGTCCAGTATAGAGCTCTAATGTTCTGATGGGAATCAAGTTACCTCTGCGATGTGCTTAACGATTAAAATGTCAGCTCATCCATGCGCATCAGTGTGCGTTGGGGTAATTCTTTCAAAACAACCAACATCCTTGAGTTTATCCGTCAATATGTGGCAAGGTGGAGAAACGAGAGCCCGGGCGGGATTTGATCCCCAGACTCCCGGGTGAGAGTCATACGCTCTAACCAGTCAGCCAAAGGGACAACCCCTTGGCCAAGTAGCCAGGGCGCATTATCTATCGGGACACTGTGACAGGACACTCACACTGCCACACCTGATTATGAAACTTTGGCTGAATAGCGCTTGTTCCTGTCTCCAATGTGGCGACGCATCCAGGAGCCTGTCTGAGGAGAAGCCCAGAATCTGACATCCTCCAGCTCAGGAAGCGCCTTTATGATTACGCACAAGCGTGACGCGTCAACCCGGTCTCACAGTAAGACCGGGTTGGACCTGTTCAGGTTTACGCAGACAATCTTTACATTTAGAATTGGCATACAGGTGTAAAATTAATGCAGTAAAATATTAAGCTTTTTATTTAAATATCCATTCATTATTTTACAAGCACAGAGAGCCGCATCAGATGGATGGAAGAGCCGCATGCGGCTCCAGAGCCGCCGACCCCTGTGCTAGCCTACTTTATTGTCCCCAGCAATTTTTAAACCCCACTCAAGTGTATGGTTATTGTCCCCAGCTATTCTGAAAACAAACTGACGCCCTTGCCTACATGAAGTGAAACTGTTTAATTGTAACATTAAGATGTTACTGGACACGCTGGTCTGGTTGGTTAGACCAGTGTTTGAAGTGGAAAACACACACACACACACACACACACACACACACACACACACACACACACACACACACACACACACACACACACACACACACACACACACACACACACACACACCAATTAAAATAATGCTGACAGCGTGGACTAGAAGACAGGTGATGGTTTACGTATTTAAATGATGATCAGGCTGCTGTAAAATGTAATCTCCATTCAAATCCGGACAGAATTATACTCTATTCTATTTTCTCTGCTCTTGTCTGGGCTGATGTAGCTGACGGTGCGGGTGGGGCGCCTAGCGGCTGCGTTGCACATTTTACGCATTTGGAGAGGTGGGCTGGATGCTTTGCTTTTACTGGAAGATGTTTTTTTTTCCAAAAATGTCGGAGATTTTGCCCCATGAATAACCGTAAAAACTACTGGTGTGCATGTACCCTTACGAAAGAGTCCTACGTTGAGAGGTAAATATTAGAAGTGCAGCTAATGCATTCTGGTGCTGGTCCACTGAACGCACGGGTGTAGACTAAATATTAATGAAAAATGAATGAAAATTAATTTGGGAGTTTTTACTTCATATTTTAGAAATAAAAATGGCGGGGGAACACATTTATGATGTCTTTTTAAACGAAATTTTCTAGCGCAACCTGTCTGCTTCTTATTAAGGCCCGTCCAAAATTACCGTGGCCCACCCAAAAATGAAAACCTGGCGCCGCGCCTGTTACAAACCTCTGCAAATTGTTGTTCTTCACTTTATCAGACTCAGACTTTGTACAGCTAATGTCAAGATGTAAAATTATGAATTCAGTCGAGCTCTTCCCTCCCTCCCTCTCTTGTTTCTCCTTGAAACCCGACATCGGCTGTCAGAAGAGGGAGGTGAAGAAGGAGATGAGGCAAACAGAGTGAGTGCGACGTAGAGAAACCAGACTGGTGTGGAGGTGAGCAAAACGGCTGGAAAAGTGTGGGAGTTGAACGATCTCAATAAGAAAAGTGTGGTCGTTGAATCCCCCACATCCCCCACGGGTGCGACGCCCATGGAATAAATGCCAGTTAAAGGATTACGTAAGTGTTGTTTATGTGCATGTTGTTCAGTAGCTAATGCTATAATTAACATTATCTGTTTTTATTTTTTGTAAGCTGCGTGATGCGCGTTTGGGGTGCACAGGCGCTGGTTTAGCGTGAGAGATTGGAGGTGTGGCGTGAGAGCGTCTGAAGAGGGTCAAATGCGTGTCTCACGCTCAGTGCGTGAGAGTTGGCAGCATTGTTATTCTCAACTCAACTCCTAACTGCTATATCTCCTTGACAACTGGTCTTCACAATAAAAGCATGTACCTCCGTTTTCTTTGGTAGTAGAATATGCCCTTCTCGTGTGAGATTAAGACATCAACCAAACACCACATTAGCTTCATTTTTAAAATTCTGGGCTTTTTTAATGTTTCATATCTTACTTCCCTTTTTTCCGTGTTATTAGTGTCAGCGAGTGTTTTGCTGAGCGCAGAACAAGAATTTAGTTGTTTGTTTGGGCTGTGATGATTTAGCCCTTTTGGAAAGATGATCTGGTTTTCTTGCTGCTGTTGGACACCAATTTGGTTAGAAATGTCAAAAAATGCGATACAGTATGTTTAATTTTTTACATGGTCAGGAGGTGTGGTGGTGCTTTGCTAAAAGGGTAAAAATTCTCTTGAAATACTTTATAGTTAAAGCTGTTATAAACCGAGGGAAAATGGCTGCAAGTTCAGCAAACTTGAAATCTTTCCTTCAAGAGGAAAGAACCACCATAAATCTGGTCATGTGGTAAGTAGCAGCTACGTTACGGGGTAGGAGATAAATCTCAAAGTACATGACATGCGTGGTCGAAACACACATCATTGGTTTCAATTTAAATTGCAGTACAACATATGTGCAATCCAGGGCGTCAGGCAAAGCGGATTAGAAAAATGCGTTTTTAGCCCCGTTGACTTGCATTCATTTTTTTCGTTCTTCTGGGGACCCATGAGCCGACCAGAAGGGGAGGAGACTTAGGCTCCTTAACTTCCCTGATACGCTTCTGCTGTAACCAGAAACCCGCAATGCCAGAGGAAACGAGATGTGGCTAAACACCAGTCAGCGTTTTCTAGATCCAAATGGTTTTTGTTGTTTTGGGACTCTGGTAGTTTGTCCTAAAGCTGAAGTGGTAGCAGCCGGCTGTTTCTTCCTTCTCTGGTGTTATTGAGTGGAGAACCTCTCACACCAATGGCGCTCTGGTGCTGAATACGTGAGTGTGTGATGAGTCGAGGACCAGGGAAGTGTGGCAGTTCGGTGAGACCGACAACCAGATGGTCCAATGGTTGGTTTTAGTCTGAAACGTGTTGTTGATGGAGGTTTTTAGACAAATGTGAGAGAACCACTTTATCAACTATTTTCGTTTCCTTTTTTAGCTCTACAGTATATTTATAACTATACAATGTTAGAATGTTAAGAGACATAAAAAAATGTTTTCCAAATTTAGCATTGCAGCTTTAAAATCGGTAACAGGGCAGTTATGTACTGGACAGAGGCTCTGCAATCGGTTGGGTCCTGGTGGAGGTTTGTTGTTTTTATTTAATTTATCTTTTAGCCTTCTATGCCATACCATTCTTTATTTATAGAATGCTTTAAAATCAGTACAAGGCCAACTAAAGCGTGGTAGAACTATAAAATCAAAACGGTGCAATCAATAGAGGCAATAAAATGTGTAAAAACAAATGTCACTGCTGGCTGCCTTTGGTTGTTCAATGTGTTGGTTTATTAACTTATTAACTGCCGGCCGTTTCCTGATCGGAAAAGCCTCTCGCTGCCAGCATTTTATGGGCGTTTTTACTGTTTTTGAAGAGTCGCAGACCATTGTTCTCTATGATGATGTCGACGCCAAAACTACCAAAACAAAGCGGAGAAGAAGCGGATCAGGAAAAATCTGTGTATTTCGAGCGTTATCCGTTTTTTTCATAATCCGTTGTTGAATTGTGATCGGCAGAAGCTTTTCTCGTTCGCGCCTCACTTTTTTTCACAGCACCGGCCCAAAACGATCTCCTAACACATGGATGTTCTGCTTCCTGATTATGTGACGGACATGGATGAAGATCGGCTTTAGAGCTGGGATGTTTGTTCTCATGGTGCGGGGGCTCGTTCCGACGCTTGACCAGTAAAAAAAAACTAAAGCAAATGACAACTTTAGTCCTCAATGGCAGCGAGCGGTTGTATTTAAAATGACTTGTCGTCAGTGGCAGTAAATGAGTTAGACTAAATGTTACGCAAAACTCACCCTTTGCATCTTTCTGCTGCCATGCGGGTTGCTATTGCGTTTAGAAACAACCCAAACCCAAAAACATTCTGTTTTTGGCAGTTTTTGGCATCAGGAATCATCTGCTTCTATGAACCATTTCAAAAAGTCCCTTTATTGTAGCGTCACAATAAGAAAAATTAGCATGTGAGTTCCTGAAAAAGCTGTAGGAGCAAGCAACTAAATGTTACAGGATCCGGATTTATATGTGAACACTGCCCCGCCCGTACCAGACCGAACTCACGCCATCCAGCCCCACTAAACCCTGACCGGCTAATGTGTAAGCGCCTATAGACCCTTTTACTGTTTGTAAACAATATGACGTCAGCGAGAATGCGCGCAGCTTGGCAACAGAGAATGGCGTTGTCAGGCTTTATCAAGCTACGCAGCAGGGTTATCACCGGCAAATCTTGAATGTTATATTATTAAACTCACTTTAACGAATGGCAACAGACTCCCGGATCCCTGTGGCATTACGGAATGGGTGGAAGATGTAGGTGCGTGGCCAGATATCTAGTGGCCTGATATATATACGTTTTTAGCGGAGAGGCCCAGTAAGTACACACGTGAGAAGCTACGGGCATACAAATCGTTAGATGCATACAACTATGTTGTCTGTGGCCACGTACAGAAAGTAAAATATCACCACATAGACTCTGAGTTTTGCGTCTTGAAGGCAGAAGTCCTTCCTAGCCAAAGACAAGGACACAAGACTGCTACGTACAAGGCTTGGGTCAGAGTAAACAAACCAGAGAACTACGTCTTCACAGCCAACTGTGCCTGCATGGCAGGGTGAGTATAGCATAGGTTTCTTTTTTTAGCGTGCTCAGAGTACAATCGTGTTAATTTGAGAGAAATACAGTTTATACTAATATGCAGTGTAAATAAATGTAAATAAATAGACTGCTTAAAAGCAAACCAGCAAATGCAACTTACTGTATTTAATAGAACACACGTTAACCAGCTTTCTGGTGTAATATAGTACATAATTACCTTACCTGATATAAAATGGGCGCTACAAACTCGAGCATGTCGGATCGTGTTTTCAGTCCAGTTTTCATCAACCCTTTTGACGGCCTGCAGCCACAGACGCTTCCGATTTTGTTGAAATGGATGTGCTCCCTTCGGAATTCTGGAAAGTTTCAGTCCACTGCTTGAAGAGAAGCGATTCTGGCATCCGTACACGCAACAACCCGACATTTTTATGTGCTCAGAACTTCAAAACAAAGGGTTTAAAACGCTGTTTTAGTATCGAGTGTGAGTGAGGAAGCCTTCACTCTCGTTGCCAGGCTGCGCGCGCAACTTTTGATGACGTAGGTAGTTAAAGGGTCTATAGATCAGTATGTGCAAAGGGGGGAGGGACGGTCAGAGGGCAGTTTGACAGATGGATCAGGATCCAATCTTTAACAACGGAACATTCACAAGGATTGGATGAGGATTTTCCAGGATTGTACATTTTAAAGGCAATAAAAAGTATTATTCCTTTGATGAAACAAGTCATAAAAGCATAATTTATTGGTTGGCATTTTATGTTAAGAGCATTTCATGCAACAAAATGATCCAGGAAAACATCCAATATTGCACCTTTAAAGTGATAGAGATCTGAAAGGGCTCATTCTAGAAGGTAAAGCTGCTGAAACCTCTGCTTCATGCACCGACCACAGAGCCTTTATAACTAAAACTTCAGCTGTGAGAGAGATGAACCTTCTACAAACATCCTCTCTGCTCCTCCTGGATCCTGGACTCAGGCTCTTTTGTGGAACTGAACTTCACACTTATGTTTCTGATCAGTTATCGGTAATTTCTCACAGATACTTTTCTGAGGAGCATCACAGGATTGATCAAACCAACACTTCAGATCTTCAGCTCCTTTCTCCCCCATCCTCACACAATCTTCTCCTAGTGGATTATTCTGTTCCCAGTTGTCCGGCTCACTTTTACTCCAGAAAGTCAAACTATGAGATGAAGATCAGAAAGAACAAGTAGAATCAAATCTGGTGTTTTTTTTTTCTGAAATCTATCAAAATATATTTTTTCATAGTCATTATACTTTGTGTTCAGCGGAGATCCATCCACCCAGATCCAGCTGCTTTCGTTCTCCGAGTCCGTCAGTCCGATCCAGAACTTGTCCTCAGGAACTTCCATTTTAGCTTTCACTTTCTCCACCAGGAACTCCTGAATCAAATCAGATGAAAATGACAGAGACGTTTCTGAGCTCAGATGAAGAAACTTGATGATGAAATCTGTGAGAACATGAACCTGCAGCAGTGTTTCATACCTGCTCCTCTCTGCTGTCGATCTTCACCAGGTCTGCTCCCAGATCCTCACAGAAACCTCTGCTCCCTTCCCAGGTGGAATAATTGGTGGTGAAATAGTAGAAATGTCCTCTGAACAGCTCCCAGTCACCATCACACGTCACTGAAGGTTGATCTTAGAACAGATGAGAACAAAGACTGGATTCATCCAGGAGGAAGAAATCTCTGTAGATGTTTGTGTGATTAGGAGGCAGCAGGAGGCGTCTTCTGTCCTGCAGTTACCATCTAACTTCCTGTTTCTGTGGCTCCATCAATGTTTCTTTAACATCATTACAGGACAGAAAGGTCAGGAGGAGAAGAGCAGGAACTCACTGATGTCTGGAGTAGGAGGTGGAGGTGACGACGGCTTTGAGCTGCAGGGTTTTGTTTCTGTCAGAAAGTGATGAAAGTTTAACCTTCAGCCGCCTCACTTCTGGTTTCAGAAGCTCAACAGAAGAAATGTTTGTTAGAAAAGAAAAACGGTTGTTAACAGTTTATATTAGTTTATAGGGAGTCACAGATCAGAAAACCCAGAGTGAGACGTTCAAACAGAACCTTGTGGATTCTTTTAAACCTGACAGTCTCACCTGAGATGTTTCTCCTCAGAGCTTCATTCTCCTCCTTCTGGGTTTGGCTGGTTTGAATCGTATAAAAAACTGATAAAAGGAAAAACGGGAAGTTAAAATCAAAAATGTCGTAAGACTCTACAGATCTCTGGAGGCAGCAGGGGAAAAGTTCTGCTCTAAAAACACGTCGACTCAGTTTAGCTTGGTAATGTTTCTGCTGAATGAGCTCAGCACCTCTGATGTTTACCCACGATGCACAGCAGCCTGTTTGGGGTAAACCCAATCAGCACGATCAGCTGATGCCAGCTGTCAGCACGGTGGTGGGGGGCTGATGGTTTGGGTTTGCAGCCAGAAGACCCACTGAGCCTTAAGGATACGTGTTTCCTGTCCACTCAGAGCTTTAGTGGCTAAGAAAAATGGAGATTTAAAAAGAAACGAGGTCAAACAGAAGATGGTCACTGGACGAGGAAGAGGACGGACCATCATGGAACAAAAAAAAGGTTTGCATCTTCGGCAGAATGAGGAAGTAACTGTTGGAAATCCCACTAATGACTCAACAAGGCTGGACTGAGGGACAGGACGGAGACGATACCAGTAAGGACCCAGCATGGAGACACCAGACCCAGTCCATACTGGACTCTGGAATGGAGACTGACCAGTTAAAGTGGGAGGGTCGACCCGACTGGTGGAGAAGGACTGAGCCAAGATACGGTGGAATGGTGATGACTGACCTTCCAGATGTTTCAGAGGGCAGCAGATGTAAACATCTCAGTTGGACGTCTGTGTTCATGATCCAAGTCGGTTTGGTTTTATTCTCCCAAAGAAAAACGACTGAATCAGACTTTTAGATTTGAGTCGCTTTAAAAAAAAACTCACCGATGACTCCGAGAGCAGCAACAGCAGCTGCTAACAGGACGCTGAGAACCACCAGGGCCGCTCGCTCCGAGGTGACCTTTGACCTCCCACTTCTTGCTGTTTGTTCAACAGTTTTTGGCTCATTTGAACAAACTGAAATGTAAAAAAAGACAAAGGCAGATAATTGTGATGTCATCATAAACGTAAACAAACACTGATCTTATTCTTCTGCTGATCAAAGATCCTCAGTGGTTCTGGGTCACCATGACGATGAGTTTTTATTTTGACCCGATTCAAACAGATGCAAACATGATTTAATCTGATTTTCCCAAAACCATTTATAAATCATCCTTAATGCCGACATTGACTCAGGTTTCTTTTTCAGCTGATTCCTTTAATTATAAAAGTTCAGTTAAAAAGTGAAGGAGTGAAAAAAAAGGAACAGAAAAGCTGCGAAAGGATGAACTTTATTTAGAACAGTCACTTCCTCTCCACCACAGATCTTGTTTTCTGTCTGTGATTCGGTTGTAATTTAAGCCGAAACTGTTGGATAAAACCATCTGTCTGCATGTCAGTCTGACGTCGAGGTTCTGTAGCTTCGGTGGAAACGTCAAAGACGTGAGATCACGAGAATCTAACCTGGCAGCAGCCAGATCTCTGTGTAGCCCCGCCCCGTGTCGAGTCGACACGTGTCTCCTGAGTTTGGAAAACTTACAGGTCAACGAGAATCGGGAAATTTTGACTTTATGAGATTATTTTTGCACAAAAATTTAAAAAATGATTGTCTTTGATCATCTTTTTGTGTCTGCAGAAACATTTGTAGGATTTAAGAGAAGAGATTTTTGTTGGACGGACACACACACACACACACACACACACACACACACACACACACACACACACACACACACACACACACACACACACACACACACACACACGCACACACACACACCACCTTCCTGTTTACCTGTCTGGTTTCCACCTGGCAGTTCTCTTTTTAAAAACTTGACCTCTGTGTACGCGGCTTCGACCGATGAAGAAACATTTTCTGTACAGGAAACCCGATGAGATCCGTAAGATTATTGAAAGTTTTCACCAGAACTCCACCAGACGAGCTCACCTCTGGCCGCTGGCCTTGCAAACCTCACATCAGAGTAGGTCACATCAGCTTCAGTCATCCTACTGCTGTGAGTCCTGCTGACGGAGAGGAGCTACTGACTGCTTCTAGAAGCTTCCAGGAAGCAAAGAAAAGAAGAACCTACTTAAACTTTTAGGCTTGCCTCATAATTTAGTTCTGTATTCTGATATGAGCAGTGAAGCATGCTGATTTGTGGAGGGGAGTTCCTATTTCCTAACTTTGACACATTTTTCAAATCCCCTTCTGTCTTTTTGAGGTTTAAATATTTAAAATTTATACAAGGACACCAGGTAGTGATGCATTCTGCAGTTTAATAAAACTCATCCTAAAAAACATCAGAAACTTCAGGCGTCGTCAAAGCGGATCACCAGCCTCCATTAAGCCCAGTTTCCCCCTAATGTCCCAGTTCACTGCAGCGACTCTAGAGCACAGAGCCAGGCAACAGAGACAGAGAGGAACATCAGAATGTCGAGGATTAACAGATTCCTTCAGCACCTGAGCTGTCCACAGTAGCTGCAGGTGTTGTGCAGAGAAAGGTAAGCCTGCTGGCTATGGCGCTGCAGGCCTGCCTCGTAATGGAAACCTGCATCAGTCATTGCATCCAGATAATGAGGAAGTTAATATGAAATATGAAGAGCAACACTACTTTTAGATATATTTGTAATATTAACATGTTTTAAATCAAAGTACTTCCTAAACAAGTGATGTTTTTGGCAAACGAACTAACAACATAACATGAATACAGAAAGAAATAACTATTTAAAGGAAGTTTTTAAGTATTTAAGGAAGTTCAACAACCAATACATGTATAAAAATGTAAAATTTTCTTCCTCAAACATGCTCCTGCAACTTCCTGGTCCAATAGGACGATCCCTGGCATTTTTACTGTGATTGCCTCTGGATTCCTGTAAAATCACAGAAAAAGAGCATGTTCGGGTCGAACAGCCTGCTTCCCAGGTGCCTTCCAGAGGCAGCGTAATGCGTGATGACGTCATGCGCGTTCACGCTCATGCAGCTTGTAGCGTTTGTTATCTGAAACTTAGCGGCAAAGCAAGAGGCAGTGTTGCCAACTCAGTGATTTTGTCGCTGTTCCTAACGACTTTTTGACCCCCCTCAGCGACTTCTATCTAGAAAAGGCGCCTAGTGACATTTCTGAGAACCCTTTGCTACTTTCTGTAGAACTTTCTTGAAGATATTCCTCCAGATTAGCAAGGAAACCACTTGTGTTCCAAACCGTTATTCCAGGAACAAGGAAAGAGAATGATAATCTGTGCATGTGCACAGAACTGACCAATCATAAACCTTTGTCGGCTGGTCTGACAAGAAAGGTACATCTATTTTAACGCGTTTGTCTACATGTCTATGGTAGAAACTACTGTCCTGTTAACACACGCAGCTCTGCGGCTCATCTGAATTTCCTTCAGTGACATGAGGATGGTTATATAACCCGCTCCTAGTTGCTCGGTGCACCGGTGTGTGCCGATATTACCCCGATCTAGATGGAGAGAAAACACAATGAAGGCGTGGAGAAAAGCGGCTGTTTATAAAAATGCTGGTAATACATTGAAGTGACAGAGATTCGGTGAGAATGAGGAGAGCAGGAGGTCTGAGCTGTGTCATTTTATTTATACTTTTTAAATTCAGGGTTTCTCTTACATAGGCGTAGCCGTGGCGGCCCGCCACGGCTGAAACCCCACCGCCACGCCTACAAGATCCCAAGTTGTTGTTTTTTTCTTTTTTTTGGGCGCTGTTTCCCGAAGAAGCAGCGGGAACTACTATGTTGTCGCTTGTGATCACAGCCGGCGGCAGCAAGGAGGAGCAGGCAGGGCAGGGTGAAGTTACAGCAGAAGTTACTGAGTTTAAAATTAGAACGGTAGCAGTGGATATAATGCTTTTGGGTTTACGTGTTTCAACAGCATTAAGATAAACGAGTGTTGACGATCTTGACAGGGTTCTCCTCCCCCCACCAGGCTAAGCATCACTTATTCATGTAAAATTAATTTTTTCATGTCTGACTTTAACCGCATCTAATACTGTATTACGGCGTGAGCGCAACAGCGACAACTTAAGATCGATGTGTGAGCAGCCTGAGAGGTCGGGTGTTTCATCTGAACCCTTAAAACCTCCAGCAGGCTACGTTGCACTATTGACGTGTTAGCGTGCAGCGCTAACAACTTAGCGACGTGACATGTCTCGGAGAAAGCGTAAAAACACGTTGGACGCTTCTTCTGAAGCGGGAAAATAACACTTCTTAGCAGAGCACGACGTCGCCTCGGCTCGTTCACCCTCTGCCGAGCCGGACTGAGCTCGATAACATTGACCCAGCACAGCCACTGGGTCGTTGGAGCTGCCCCGTGACTGCCTGATGGAAAACCAGCGGGTTTCATCAGACTCGTAAAGTTTCTTGTTTTTGCTGGGGACCCCCTGTATTTTACCGCTCCCTCCTGCAGTCTTCCCCTATTAACATTTAAAATGATTCTGTAAATTCGTGTATCAATAGAAACAATCTCTGCCTCTGCCAGCAAATGTAGTCTCCAAATAATAAATAAGAGGTGCATTCATCTGTGTATCTCCTTTGATCCACTTTAGTGATATTCTCAGCATCAGAACAATGAAGCAAAGAAACAGATTCCTGAGTTTATTTAAGTAATTTTATTTATTAGGGGCATCTGACCTGTTCTATTTTTCTCTGAAATGAGATGAAATCAGTGCTTCTATGGGTTGGCTCCTCTCTGCACTAGAAAATGTTACTTTCTTTAGAGACATGTCATAATGTCTCCCCAAGCCCCCCCCCACCCCACCCCACCCCCCCGGCCCCACCGCCACAGCTGGAAAAAATCCTAGGGGAAACACTGGAATGTATTTTACACATCAAAGCAATTTGGGCCATTTTAATCATACTAATGAATCATTTTATCTAATATAAGGGGAAAGGGTTTAAAGGGGCTTTCCATTTATGATAGTAGGAGCATTTTTAGGCTTCTTGTCTAGTGTGTTTACATCAGAGTACATTGTTTTTCTAATTCACTAGAATTGTTTAGAGCAGTCTAAACCTGTAAATTACAGCACCACGGGACTGGTTCAGCTGTTGTTTTTGATCAGGAGTGTGCATGTACTAGCCTGGCAAGCCAGACTAAATGAATGTATTATTTAGTCTGGCAACGCTCCATAGACGGCTCTCGGTTGGGGCGGGTTCTACCGTTGTCTTTCAAATGATCTCCGCATTCCACTGGACAATATATATATATATATATATATATATATATATATATATATATATAGATATATATATATATAGATAGATAGATAGATATAGATATATATATATATAGATAGATAGATATAGATAGATAGATATAGATATATATATATATATATATATAGATAGATAGATATAGATAGATAGATATAGATAGATATAGATATATATATATATAGATAGATAGATAGATATAGATAGATAGATAGATAGATATAGATATAGATAGATAGATAGATAGATAGATAGATAGATAGATAGATAGCATATAACATATAGTAGCAGATAGTATTTCCATTAACCTATTTAATATCTTGCCTGAACAAAAACATTTGTGTCATCAGCAAACATTGTAAATTTTAATATATTTGAAACCCAACAAACATAGTTACTGAACAGAACAGATAACTTTGGACCCAACGCTAATCTGTAAGAGTCTGCGATGTAAGAGGTTAGAAACAGGAAACAACGTTACCATGGAGATAAGATGTTTTCTGATGGTGGTCATACCAGCTTAACCCATAAGAACCAGTTTACCCAACAGGGATATTTTGACACATATGTGGTTTTGTTGAGTGAAAAAAAGGACTTGACAGCAAAGATTATGAATATTTGTATTTTTTATTTTTTTTTTACAATGAAACCTTTCATGACAAAACGTAACTCACCCTCCTTCTCTTCCGTTGAGATCAGCAGGAAGCTGGTTTAGATTAATCGTGCTGAGATAAAGTTTGTTCTGGTGAATCTACAGAAGAGCAACGACACTTTCATGGTAAGTTTAGAGGATTTTTTTCTTCATTTAAAAACTAAACAAACTGTTTTTACATCTCATTAAACTCTCATTAGGTCAGAAATTCTCAGTTTCTATGTTAGAATTCAGAGAATTTACTCACTGAGTCATTAATGATCATTTTTATAGTTTAAGATCTTATAATTAACATTATTTTATAAACATGTGTGTGTCTACAACCGTCCCTGCTTAAGGTAACACGCTGCTGATTTCTAGTTTTAAACAGGTGTGTTTTAGACTCTCCATGATGAGTCGCCCACAGAGCTCCACAGAAGGTGAGAACTTTACTTCCTCTTAGAACTAATTAAAGCTGGAACCAATGGTGGGGAGGATTAGTGGGTCGTCCAGTAATGTGAAGGTTGTCGGTTCAATCCCAGATCATTCCTGTTCTATTGTGTCCTTTCAGCAAGACACTTCACTTCCTTTCCTTCACTTCCTTTTCCAGATGTGGGGTGTATGTTGTGAGTGGGTCCAGATGTGGGTTGTATGTTGCGAGTGGGTCCAGATGTGGGTTGTATGTTGTGAGTGGGTCCAGATGTGGGTTGTATGTTGTGAGTGGGTCCAGATGTGGGTTGTATGATGTGAGTGGGTCCAGATGTGGGTTGTATGGTGTGAGTGGGTCCAGATGTGGGTTGTATGTTGTGAGTGGGTCCAGATGTGGGTTGTATGTTGCGAGTGGGTCCAGATGTGGGTTGTATGTTGTGAGTGGGTCCAGATGTGGGTTGTATGTTGTGAGTGGGTCCAGATGTGGGTTGTATGTTGTGAGTGGGTCCAGATGTGGGTTGTATGTTGCGAGTGGGTCCAGATGTGGGTTGTATGTTGCGAGTGGGTCCAGATGTGGGTTGTATGTTGCGAGTGGGTCCAGATGTGGGTTGTATGTTGCGAGTGGGTCCAGATGTGGGTTGTATGTTGCGAGTGGGTCCAGATGTGGGTTGTATGTTGTGAGTGGGTCCAGATGTGGGTTGTATGTTGTGAGTGGGTCCAGATGTGGGTTGTATGTTGTGAGTGGGTCCAGATGTGGGTTGTATGTTGCGAGTGGGTCCAGATGTGGGTTGTATGTTGCGAGTGGGTCCAGATGTGGGTTGTATGTTGCGAGTGGGTCCAGATGTGGGTTGTATGTTGTGAGTGGGTCCAGATGTTGATGTGGTTCTCCTCTAAATGCTCCTCAGGTGAAGCTGCTGCCTCTCAGCATGAAAAACCAAACAGGAAGTCAAATCTGCTTCTCTGGGCTCTGCTGGCTGCTGCTCTCATCATTATCTACAGACTCGGTGAGTTCTGACTGATTTATTTACTATTTCATGTGTTAGAGGACAAGAGGAGAACTCTGTTATTCTGATTTCATCTGATTTTAACTTCTGACTTTTCTTTAATCAGCTTTTGATAAAATTAGAACCAACAAAACTCTCCAAACCCTGAAGGAGGACAATAAGGTTCTACAGGAGGACAATAAGGTTCTAAGTGAGGACATTGAAGCTCTGAGAAAACACATCTCAGGTGAGAATGTCGGGTTTGAAAGAGTCCAGAAGGTTCAGCCTGGAGGTCTGATTCAGGCCCGTCAGGATTATTTAATCTGAGACTTTCTGGATCAGATATGATGTTTTTCTCTAATTCCTTACAATATACAACTAATAACAAGGTGTTATTTTCTTTCCCTGAGTGTTTAGACCAACCACTAACTAATATATTCACCACTGATGCTGTAAGAAAACATAAATACACATTTTAATGATCTTTCAGTTAAAACATTCTGAGTAGCACAGCCCACTGTAGATGACATGTAAGTAGAGGTCTTCTCCTCCTGACCTTTCTGTCCTGTAATGATGTTAAAGAAACATTGATGGAGCCACAGAAACAGGAAGTTAGATGGTAACTGCAGGACAGAAGACGCCTCCTGCTGCCTCCTAATCACACAAACATCTACAGAGATTTCTTCCTCCTGGATGAATCTAGTCTTTGTTCTCATCTGTTCTAAGATCACGTTTGTCTGAAGTCGGACAGAAACTGGGAGAAACATGGAGACAAGTGTTATTATTTCAGTGACCGTTACTTATCCTGGAATGAGAGCAGAGGTTTCTGTGAGGATCTGGGAGCACACCTGGTGAAGATCGACAGCAGAGAGGAGCAGGTATGAAACACTGCTGCAGGTTCATGTTCTCACAGATTTCATCATCATGTTTCTTCATCTGAGCTCAGAAACGTCTCTGAGTCATTTTCATCTGATTTGATTCAGGAGTTCCTGGTGGAGAAAGTGAAAAACTTTGTGATGGGTGATTGGGAAGGTTTGTGGATCGGACTGACGGACTCAGAGGTAGAAGGCATCTGGACCTGGGTGGACGGATCTCCACTGGACAGCAGGTCTGATGGTTGTGTGAATATTTCAGTTTCAGAAAATCAACTTGACAAGGCTTTTCTGGATCAGAGTCTCCAGTTTTAATGGATTTTGTTCTTTTTACTCATCTGTCAGAATGAAGTTTTGGTTAAAAGGACAGCCCGATAACTTTAAAGCATCCAGTGCATCTGGAGAGGACTGTGTGACGATTCTGAAAGGAGGAGCTGAAGATCTGAACACCTGGAATGATGACGTCTGTCGCTTTGCTCGTAAAAGTATCTGTGAGAAACCAGCAGGAACTGGACCGAGTTCATCTGTTTGTGGCTGAAGTTCAGTTCAGTCTCTGGAACAACCTGAGTGCAGGATCCAGGAGGAGCAGAGATGATGTTTGTAGAAAGTTCATCTCACAAACAGCTGAAGCTTCATTTTAAATGTGTGGAAGAGAAAAATGTTATATTTTCTCACATTTTCTTTTTTTAGCTAAAAAGCAGAATCCAGTAAATTACAAAAATCTTAGTCATAAATTCTCTCATTAAACTTTGTTTATACATTTAAAAACATTCAACTGTAATTTTTTTCTGACTTAGAAAAGGTTTATTTTGCTGAAACTAAATAAACTTTTGTTGTTTCTAATAAAGTTTTGAACCTGAGATCATTAAAATGAAACTTTCTCCTCATGAAGCATGAAAGTAAAACTTCAGTGTGCGACCAGAGGAGGGCAGCACATCCACATCTGTGTTTCTGATCAGCTCACATTTATGGCAATTTACATTTGAATCAAGGGAATAAACACAGATCATCAGAAACATCAGTGTTACAGAATATAAATATTCAGCTGGATGGAAATCAAAACAGGAACCAGACAGTAGATGAAGACTCCTGTTCCTCCTCTAACAGGAAGTGTATTCAACACAAAGCTGTGAGACGTGGACAGAGGAGCGAGGACTCTATGGTGAGTTTAGAGGATTTTCTGTCAACAACAAATAAAATCACTGATGATTAATACGTTTGTTTTGGGTGTTGCTACATATATTGAACACTGCTGCTAACCACTTAAACATCCTCCCTCCTGATGACATCTTACTCTTTGATGCTGGATGTGCTACTACTAGTTTACCCGTTTAATTATAGATTCACTAGGATAAATACAATAAAGTTTATCTCTCACCTAATAAAATATTTACTAAGAACTCACAATGTAACGTGTGTGCGTGTGTGTGTGTGTGTGTGTGTGTGTGTGTGTGTGTGTGTGTGTGTGATGGCTGCTTATTTTGAGCCAGGATCCTCTGGAGGTTTCTTCCTATTAATAGGTGTAGTGATTTGAAGTTGTATATTTATATACTGTAATTAGGTCATCAGAAGTGGTCGTTTTTATCATCAGGGAGTTTACTTAAACACTTTGTATTGACTGAGAGACAAGAAAAGAGAGAGAGTTGGGATCGTTTAAGAATCTTTAATTTCTATAATTATAAATTCTTACACAGGAACGGCCCACCTAATCTGAACTCGAGCGGTGTTTTGTTATTGGACTTCTGTGCAAGCCGCAGTTTGGCCATAACGAACACCATGTTCGAACATAAGGATGCCCACCGGTTCACTTGGTACCAGGGCAGCCTAGGTCACAGGTCGATGATAGATTTTGTAGTCGTATCATCTGACCTGCGGCCGTATGTTTTGGACACCCGGGTGAAGAGAGGGGCGGAGCTGTCAACTGATCACCACCTGGTGGTGAGTTGGATCAGATGGCAAGGGAACATGCCGCGTAGACCTGGCAGACCCAAACGCATAGTGAGGGTCTGCTGGGAACGCCTGGCAGAAGAACCTGTCAAGACGGTCTTCAACTCCCACCTCCGGCAGAGCTTTGACCACGTCCCGAGAGCAGTGGGGGACATTGAGTCCGAGTGGGCCTTGTTCCACTCTGCGATTGTCGAGGCGGCTGTTGCTAGCTGTGGTCGTAAGGTGGCCGGTGCCAGTCGTGGTGGCAACCCCCGTACCCGCTGGTGGACACCAGAGGTTCGGGGAGCCATCAGGCTGAAGAAGGAGGCCTACAGGGCGTGGCTGGTCTGTGGGTCTCCGGAGGCAGCAGACAGGTACCGGATAGCCAAGCGGGGTGCAGCAGTGGCAGTTGCCGAGGCAAAATCTCGGGCGTGGGAGGAGTTTGGTGAGGCCATGGAGAAAGACTATCGATCGGCTCCAAAGAGGTTCTGGCAAACTGTCCGGCGCCTCAGGAGAGGAAGGCAGCAACTCGCTCACACTGTTTATAGTGGGGATGGGGAGCTGCTGACGTCAACTGAGGCTATAGTCGGACGGTGGAAGGATTACTTTGAGGAGCTCCTCAATCCCACCAATGCGCATTCCGAGGAGGAACCAGAGCTGGGAGGCCTGGGGATGGACTGTCCAATCTCGGGGGCAGAAGTTGCTGAGGTAGTCAAACAACTACACAGCGGCGGAGCCCCGGGGGCGGATGAGGTTCGTCCTGGGTATCTCAAGGCTATGGATGTTGTGGGGCTGTCATGGTTGACACGTCTCTACAACATTGCGTGGTCATCGGGGGCAGTTCCTAGGGAGTGGCAGACCGGGGTGGTGGTCCCCATCTTTAAGAAGGGTGACCTGAGGGTGTGTTCCAACTATAGGGGGATCACACTCCTCAGCCTCCCTGGAAAGGTCTACTCCAAGGTACTGGAGAGGAGGGTCCGATCGATAGTTGAATCTCAGATAGAGGAGGAGCAATGTGGTTTTCGTCCTGGCCGTGGAACTGTGGACCAGCTCTATACCCTTGCAAGGGTAATGGAGGGGGCATGGGAGTTTGCCCAACCAATCCACATGTGCTTTGTGGATTTGGAGAAGGCTTATGACCGTGTCCCCAGGGGCACCCTGTGGGGGACGCTCCAGGAGTATGGGGTGGGTGGCTTTCTGTTAAGGGCCATTCAGTCCCTTTACCAGAGGAGCGTGAGTTTGGTCCGCATAGCCGGTAGTAAGTCGGACCTGTTCCCAGTGAGGGTTGGACTCCGCCAGGGCTGCCCTTTGTCACCGGTTCTGTTCATCACTTTTATGGACAGAATTTCTAGACGCAGCCGTGGTGTGGAGTGTGTCGAGTTTGGTGGCAGGAGAATCTCGTCTCTGCTTTTTGCGGATGATGTGGTCCTCCTAGCTTCATCCAGCTCTGACCTTCAGCTCTTGCTGGGTAGGTTCGCAGCCGAATGTGAGCGGCTGGGATGAGGATCAGCACCTCCAAATCTGAGACCATGGTTCTCGACCGGAAAAGGGTGGCTTGCCACCTCCGGGTCGGGGGAGAGGTCCTACCTCAAGTGGAGGAGTTTAAGTATCTCGGGGTCTTGTTCACGAGTGAGGGTAGGAGGGATCGGGAGATCGACAGGCGGATTGGTTCGGCGTCTGCAGTGATGTGGACGCTGAGCCGATCTGTCGTGGTGAAGAGGGAGCTGAGCCAGAAAGCCAGGCTCTCGATTTACCGGTCGATCTACGTCCCAATCCTCACCTATGGTCATGAGCTTTGGGTAATGACCGAAAGAACGAGATCGCGGATACAAGCGGCCGAAATGAGTTTCCTCCGTAGGGTGGCCGGGATCAGCCTTAGAGATAGGGTGAGGAGCTCGGCCATTCGGGAGGGACTCAGAGTAGAACCGCTGCTCCTCCGGATCGAAAGGAGCCAGTTGAGGTGGTTTGGGCATCTGGTCAGGATGCCTCCTGGACGCCTCCCCGGGGAGGTGTTTCGGGCATGTCCTGCCGGCAGAAGGCCCCCGGATCGACCCAGGACACGTTGGAGAGGTTACATCTCCAATCTGGTCCGGGAACGCCTTGGGGTCCTGCCGGAGGAGCTGGTGGAGGTGGCCGGGGAGAGGACGGTCTGGAGCTCCCTAGTTGGGATGCTGCCCCCGCGACCCGGACCCGGATAAGCGGAGGAAGACGACGACGACGACGATAAATTCTTACAATCTACCAGGACTATCTCAATGATGAATGCATATGGATTTAGATGTTTTGTGTTGGTGTGTGTGTGTGTGTGTGTGTTTTCTTCAGAATCTCTAGGCTGACGTAGCAAATCTGGTTTGTTATGACTAGGCTACCACGAGGCTTCAGAAGCTGATGACATGAGCCGCCATATTGCCGTGATCACGTTACCGTATATGGAGTCTCCCGTGTAGATCAGGAAATGCCGGGTCCTGGGACCCTCGGTTGTACTTGTAACGGAATAGAAGTGATGAAACTATCTAGAGTTGTATTTTAATACACGGTAAGTAGATCACTTTTTATAAACAGAAGAATAGGCTGTTTTTATCATCAGGGAGTTTAATTAAACACTCTGTATTGACTTTGAGACAAGAAAAGAGAGAGAGATGGGATCGTTTAAAGAGCAAGTCACCCCCTACAAGAAACTTACTTCACTCCCACTTCATGTTTGAAAAATGCAAAAAATGCTGTTGCTTGGCAGACCGAGAGGGCGGAGACGCTAACAAATACACACAAACACAGGCTCACAATGGCATTGTGACATCATAACGTACCAGATGACATCATAGCATACCTCTTAGCCAATAGCGGTGGCAGATTTAAATTCAAATACAGTGCAGAATTTTTCCCTGACGACGGCGCAACGCTGCCAGTTTTAGGCAGAATATTTGAATTTTAACCAAGATGCACTGAAGTGCCAAATTATTGACTACACGTGTCTGTAGCACGATTAGACACTCCTTTATATAGTTTATCAGCAAAAAAAATGTGATTTGGGGGTGACTTGCTCTTTAAGAATCTTTAATTTCGTAATTATAAATTCTAAACAATCTACCAGGACTAACTCTGTGATGGATGAAAATGGATTTGGATGTTGTGTTGGTGCGTGTGTGTGTGTGTGGTTGTTTCAGGCTCTTTAGGATGACGTCATTGAATCTGGTAGTCTTTGTTATGACTAGATATCACGAGGCTTATAAAGTGATGACATGAGCCGCTATTTTGCCGTGTACGTACCCAGTGGGGGGCCTCCCAGGTAGATCAGGAAATGCCAGGTCCAAGAACCTCGGATGTACGCTGGAGCTGTCGGTGCAGCGGTCACAACGTTTCAAAGCCCGTCTGGAGGGTCGACCCCGGTACCTTTCGGCAGCGTCAGCAGGTGCTCTTATTTTGAAAGGATGTCGTCTGGTTGTTAAACGACGAAAATCTCCAACTTCACAGTTCTTAGTTTAAAGACGAAAACACATCTGACCAGGCTGTGCTTCTCTTTAGGATGACGGTGACTAGAACTGAAGTCAAAATGGAACTGACTTTAAAATGGCGTTGCCTTATTTTATATCTCTGAATTGTTTTAAGTTTCAGTAAACGGGATAGGACACTTTAAGTCAACACCAGATTATCTTGCGGCAGCCGAAAGCTCTGATTGGTTGGAACAATGTGTCATGCGTTTCTATGGAGATGAGAATCAGTCTGTCTGTGTAATAGTCCTGTTTTCATTAAACATAAATCATGACATATTTATTTCACAGATCATTCACTTGATTATTGT